CACAATACAAATTCTTGAGCACACGTTTGTGAAGGAACTAATTGGATAGTAAAATTCTCAGTTTGAGCGGTCGTTCAGAGGGGGGCGGCACTGTTCTTTCAATTGCTGAAGGGTGTCGAACAGTAATGGAGCGAAACGCACTTTGGTGGATCTCACCTCAACGGCGATAGCTCCTCCCGGTAACGCGCTATTACTCTTGAACACGCAGTTCTCCGCCCTAACGGTCGAGTTCCTCTGATATCCACAAAGCGCCTCACCTCATATTTAATGCACATCATTTGGACATCATGTCGCCAAAGATTGACAATATACTGGCACATGTCATGCATGAAGATCACGGGCTGAAGCTCTTCACATGACAGCAATATCCAATGATGACTCATTAATATAATGGGTGCAAAATTTGGAAGGCCAAAATCCTATTCAGAGCTCATTCCAGAGTATGCTGACGCGAGAGCGAGACACGAGCTTTTAGGCTTCTCGTGACCAAAAAAGTGATGGAAATGTAATGGCGAAATTTGGGGAAGGAAATTAAAGCACGTCTTGTGCTGCTTACGTCAGCGCCGATGGCTCCTCCCGAAGTCGCGCCGTTGCCCACGAACTCACAGTTTTCCACTCGCACAGTCGAGTTCCTCTGATCCCACAGAAACGCCACAGAATATTTTATCAGATTTAATGCACTGCAACTTCGGGCACGATCATCAGAAGCTTGTAGTACTGAAACTACTTTTCTTTCTTGATAACCCGTACTCTTCCAATAAAGATCTCCATCCAGAAGCAATTTTCTTTGCCTCATAGAAGGCACCAATCGATTAGAATCCAGAATATTAGCGACAGTGGTTGTTAACCTTGAACAGTGAAACAGATTGTCAGTACAGCAAAGCCTACATAGTGCGTGGCCGTCTATGTTAAATAAGCATGCCTGCCTCCGTCGTGCTTCTGCAACTCCAGAGGAGCACCACAGTTATTGAGTGAATTCGTTTCTCCGCGCTGCTGCTTACACCTTCGAGAGGTGTACTTGGCGGGAGCAGAATCAGTGCAAGATATGTGTTTCATGCACATTATAGCGCTAAATACCACCTACTTCCTCTCTGTGTTCCCAAAGTATTGTCGCATCATTAATTCGAGCAGTCGGAAGTGAAAGTTAGAAATATCGACCAAAACAGGTTTGACGCGCCGTATTGAGAGCTATCCATGGAGTTCTCGAACGTGGCAATCGGTGTCTTCCTTGATCCAATAGGTGAGGACAAGCTGAATTGCAGCTTGGATTTGCCGGGATTCTAATGGGAGAATGGCAATCTCGTGTTGGCCTTGAAAAAAGATGGATCAAGCTGAGATGCCTCTAGGAAAGTCGACTGACCTGGTGGCTTGAGCTTCACTGAATATTCGGCTAAAATCAATGCAGAATATAAAAATAAACAATACAGGTTTGCTGTATATTTCTGGGGTGTCAACAAGGATTGTGGGAATTTTGTGGACAAATGCCAAGACACACCTAAATTGTCGCAATAGTATTGACGTAGCCGGCACACCAACATTAGGAGGGCCGTGCATGCTGGCAATAAAGTCGAAACGACCTAGGTTGGTTTTAGCACGGCCAATCGTCGAAATTGGGAGTCCCGAAGACACGAGCCAGCATAGTGGAACAGATTACCCGCAAAGAATACAATTTGAAATTATAATAAAACTATTGAAATATCATTGACAACAAGTTTCTTCAGCGATTTCCGGCACATAGGCTGCACGCATGGTCATAACGCGAGCGCAAAACTACGGGAAATTGAGACCCCGGCACAGATGGAAAGGGAGGTTTTGAAGGGACTGTGAATTTCCTTCTGTAGGTGGATGACTAATTTACCAAGATCCACATCAGCCCCAAGTCGACAAAGCAATCCGCATCTGGTGTCGGATTGACTAATTGATTTGATGGTACAAAGCTATAGCAAGAGTAGAAAAGTGACAATATTTTTGAAACGCCGGTAGTATTTCCTGGGCATGAATTAGCTACGCATCCACAAAACACCGTTGCCATGTTGCGCTAGATACACGTAGCATGGGCAAAGATGTACTAGTACCCATACCCTTGGCATCAGTTGTTCTGACGTGGCAAAGGCTCGACTCCATATCGGCGCGCCCAATGGGTGCGAAGCGATTCGAGATTACTGAAAGGCATGCGCATCTTGGTGCTGTATCTAATTCACGGTAGGTGAATTCCTCGCCCGCCCACGTTTGTACCAGCTTTGGGTAATCGCTGATTTGAAATTCGATTCATGTAAGGAACTATGTATGAAGCACAGTGAATATAAAGCAAGCCTGCGGGCCTAAAAAATTTCGATTGAGCCCCCCCGCGGCTGGAGAAGTCTTGAGCATGCATTCCCTTGCTTCGAAAACCGATCCCTGTTCGTAGCCAGGCACAGTGAGCCTCTGATACAGAAAATAGAATGACAAAGGCTGGTTGAAAACATTAAATACCAATAACAATATATCAAGAATGATAAGACAGCAGCTTGTCGAATAACTTAAGCAGCATCTCAGCAAAAGAAATCTTTGCTCTTCTGCAGGCTTGAAAAAACGGAGACGTGGCTTTCCTCTGTGAATTTCACAGCAGTCTCGGCGATTCATTACCTAGGGTACACTGTCGCAGATTGCCTGTCGTAATGTCGTTAACTCTCATAAATAATTGCCCTGCAACGAGGAACAATGTGCCTAGGGAAATGAATTATTTATCGACGTAGCCTACCGAGACCAAGAAGAAAGAAAATTCCCACGGCAGCGCCTTCCATCCTCGAGGGGTGCCATACTGCACAAGATCTGAGTCTGCATCCAGCTGAACCACATAATTCTTCGTATATGCCACTCTGTTAGTGCACAATCTAAATACAATCAGTGCCACAGCGCTGACTGTCCTGAATTATATTCCCGCATATTGTGTAGCTATATGACAGGTAACGCAGAAGCTTCGCGTGGATAATTTTTTGATGTGAAGCAGGAGGCTTCTTTTCGCGTACCCGTGCAACACGGATGGCTCCTTCCTGAGCTCCGCTCGTGGTCTTTTCAATTGCGCTGTTCCTCAGTCGCATTGCTGCATTGTCCTGTTGACATAATGAGGCCTCAGATTTCTTTTGAGGAAAAGCGCCCGCTTCTGAGCCCTCCGCTCCTAGAGAATAATGTCATGGTGCAAGATTGGCAACCAAGAACCTAATCATGCTACTGTAGCATTGTTTCGAAGAAGAATGATTCAAGTCATTCCCAGCTTGAACATCTGCGTTCTTGTCGTAAGCAACTCGTATTTGCGGCAATGTGCAGGGCTGTTGAAGCGCGCATTTGTTGCGGCACAAGTGCAGCACGTGCCCCAGCGCTGGCAAAAATTTTGGCCATGCCACAGGGGGGGCGCTATATAGGGACTCCTACTGTAGTTTGAGCCATCGCTAAACGAGCCCTGTACCCCCCTCCCCTCAAGTCATGGACACCGCCACCCTGGCCGCCCAACTTCCCACCGCTTCAACCCACCACGGCGCCATAAGAACGGCCACGGCCCGCCTCGTCCAACCGATTGCCATCAGTTGAGACCCATCCATTCGCTGCAAACGCTGGCTGCCCAAGATTTCGCACTCTCCCCGCGCCGTGGCTGAGCTGGAGGGCAGAGTGCTGGCCCAAGGGGCAGCGATTGGACTCTCCCGGTGTGCGCGTGGGAGTGTCTCACGGGACGGCTGTCGGAGCGGGTTTTCGGAACTTGGGGCCGCGCCACCGCTGGCGGCCGATCGGCCGGACTCGCCGGAGGAGCCCCGCGTCGGCAGGTGCGTCCGATTCTGATTGCGATTCTGGATTGTGGACGCCGGATGCTGTTTGGATGATTTCTGTTTGGTTGACTTCTGTTCTGGATTCTGTGTTGTTTTCTCTGTTTTATTTGGTTTCTGTTTTGCTATCGGCGACGGCGTGTGGGCGATAGGTTGATGCGGAAATGGGGAGATCGCCGGGAGGGGCGGCAGCGTGCAGCGGGCTGTCGCGGGAATTCAAACACCCTGACCATTGCGGGTAATGTTGCCGCCCTGGGACTTGGCTGCTCAACGGGCGGCCTGCTGATTGCGTTGCAGGGGTAGGGGTGCAGCATAATTTGGGAATGGCTTTGCGTCTAGTCGTCCCTACAAGACAATGATGTGGTGCATGACCTGGCTTTGTACCCGGCGTATTTAGCAACACAGTAGCAAGGGATCTCGTTTCTGGATCCCCCTGTCGCGCTGCCCGTCCCTGAAGCTGTGGCTCTTTCCAAACTGGCAATGCCTTCATTTTGCCCTCAACAAATTTTGGCAGCGAATCTGGAAGAACGTGCTGATTTTGATTGCAAGTGTTCATGCCGGAAGGGCAGACTTGAGAAGTTGGCAAGCAGTAACCATATGTCAGTGCCAACTGGTGCTCTGATGATGTCCTCCACTGAAACCCCTCTTGATTGAATTTTGTTTGATTGACCTACACAAAAATCTGGCGGTAGGGAAAATGTTGTGTTCTTGCTAACCATGTGCTGCAACACTTCTACATCCTTTTACAAAATGTTAAGAGGCTGAACCAGGTTCAGTTGCATGCAATTTGGTAGCCTATGCAGTGTTTGTCCTTAGCACTCAGTAAGCCAATCCAGCTGCCATCCAAGGCTGACATCCCATTCCTGTCCGAAGCAGTGATTACCACACTGTTGTGTGTCAGCCAAGGGCAGAGTGGCTGCCTCAGCACTCTTCGGGCCAATATGCTGCTGAAGCTGCATCTCATCAGTGCCAGCAGTGAAATTCCATTCCAGCACTCCTTTGCCAAGTTTTGTGCTCTCTTAAACTGTTCACGGCCGACAAAAGAGGACGGTTCGGAAGAGCTCAGGCATTGTGTTGACTTTCTTGATAAATTGACAATCAAGAATGCAAATTGGAACTTGAACCTCAATGGCTCCACATGCAGTGTGCAGAATGTCAGCTCATTTCCCGATTGCTGGTGCTGCACAGCAGGCCTGGAAGGGGATGATGGTAGACTGGGGTGTGCTGCCCTATGACATCCTGGACAATGTGAAGACGATACTGAAACAGCAATTGGGAGCCACCTCTTTGGTGGTGAGATCCCTGCGGCTGGTGAATCGACACTGGAGCCGATGGGCCACCGAGTCCGCTGAACACCTGACCCTAGCCATGGGCGCTCCTCTGCAAGAGCTGGTGGATGCCCTCGTGGGGAAGTTCATCGGGGTCAAGGCGTTGGGGTTCTCATTCAGATGTGGGGAATTTGGCGGCATGGCCCAAAAGGACCTGGCGTTGTTGGCAAGGCTGCCTCGCCTGACTTGGCTGGATGTTGGGGGCTGTGATGTGACCGACAGCGACATGGACAGCTTGGGCCGAATGACCAACCTCATGCACTTGGACCTGTCGTGGTGCCGAAGGATGACAGATTCCGGGGTGGCGCATTTGGCCATGCTGCCAAGCCTCAGCCACCTCAATCTGAAAGGGTGTGCACTGGTCACCAGCAAGGGGCTTCGGCACATTGCAGGCCCAAAACTCCTGACCCATCTGGGCTTGCGCTCTTGCAGGGTCAGCGATGATGGAATGATGCATGTCGGTGCGTTGACGGCATTGACTTGTTTGGAGTTGGATTGCTCACGTTTGACCGATGAAGGTCTGGGCCAGCTGGGGAAGCTCAGTAGACTGAAACACTTGTCGCTGTGGGGAGAGGGGTGCTGTGGAGGGTCAGGTTTGAAGTGGGCGGAGGGGTTGCAGGGCCTCAAGCACCTTGACCTGCACGGCTGCCAGGGCGTTACGAACCGGGGGCTGGAATGTGTGGGGAAGCTTCTGGCGCTTCGGTTTCTGGATGTGCGCAACTGCCGGCACGTCACCGGTGCTGGGATTGGACGCTTGCCCAAGTCGCTGTGCATTGCGGGTCCCAAGAGTACCGATTGGCGCCGCAATGAAATTGGCATGGATGATTCCGATCTTGAAGAATATTACGAGGACAATTCTAGAGCTTGCCATCTGCATTACTAGTGTGTTGTGCTTCCTTTCAAATGCATGTTGAATAATCTTCCAGTATTTGGCACCACAGTCAAGAGTTCCAGTGGGGAAATGGGAACAGGTGCAGAAATGATGGGGCAGGCGAATGCCAGGGTGGGCTGTGGTTTTCGTCGGGACCCAGAGAACATTTTTATACATTGTAACGGTACCAGTGCAAGGCTTGTAGGGCAGTACTCTATGCAGAATTTCATGGCCGATGATTTTGCGAAACATGAAGTGTAAATGCAAATGCTGCTCAGTGTAAGTGAGATTTTGGGTCCTCAGATTTGTAGGCTTACATTTTTGGTTGGGACGCACGACCCGCATGGTCATTAAATCCACAAAACATCCCCCAAAGCAGAATGTGCTCACCGGCCCATAGCATCACCACACTGCTGGTACCCTGCAAGTCACCTGCCAGTACAGTCGCCCAACAGCAGTTTGGGGTTGGTTGTCGTCCAACTTCAAAACAATCCAACGTGCACCTGTTACTTCCAGGTTTACCTCTAAGTTTTCTAGTCCTACATTTAAGCTTATTTCTAAGTGTTCTCGGCGTGTCTAGGGTGTCTGGGTATCCTTCTTGGGTTTCCGTATCCACTTCTAGGTTCGTTAGTTGGGTTTTAATAGTTTTTTTCAGGTTTCAAATTTTTCATTTTTTATATTTTTTGATTTAGGTTCTTATGTTTTCAAGGTTTTTAGGCGAACAGGGCATGGTGCACACAAACTACTGCCGTTCCCCGTTGGGCCACCGGCGCCAGCCTGTTGCTGTGTCGTTTCTGGGAGGATTCTCAAGGCGTAGCTCGACTTGGGCAACCGCTGAACGGCACCGCAGCGCCCGCGGAGCGCCTTTGGGCGGCAAGGAGGTGGGCCCCTGCCCACTCCAGCGATGTTGCCAAAATTTCACCATCGAGAGCCCTTCGTTCATCAAAGCGCGCCTCCCACCGGAGCAAGGACCGATTCCGAAAACTACTTTGCGCGCCAGACAAGAAGATGCGGAAGGCTCAGAGCGCGCCACAGCGGACGCCGAGTGCGCGGCTTCAATTCAGATTGAATTGAAGGGACCTGCCCTGGGGATGGCTGCTTGGGGATCGCGTTGCAAGCGTCAGCGAGTTGGCGGCCGTTGCCTTTTTCATTTCGATTGTCGACAGAACGAATGGCGCATTTCGGCAGGGCAGTCCTCTGCACAGGACGCCTGGGCTGCTGTATGGATGTTTACCAAACGCGTGAATCACTAAAAGAAACATGAGCCATGGCCTTGACGTCCATCGTGGCACGCTCTGCGCCTTCCGCATCATCTTGTTTGGCGCGGAAAGTGGTTTTCGGAATCGGTCCTTGCTCCGGTGGGAGGCGCGTTTCGATGGCAAGGAAGTGAAACCCCCATCAAGCGGACAGGAATGTCGAACTGAACCCTTAGGGGGGTGGCTGCGCTTCCGGTTGATGCAACGCGGGATGCCATTCCATTGCGCTCGGGGGCTCGTGTGTCCTCTGGTCTGGTTGGGGATGATTCTGGAAGCAATCCCGCCCCGAGAGGGGAAAATTGTTACAAAGCCAAAGAGAAATAGGCCGTGCAGAAGAGCATCTGCCCCTAAACAAGGGGTAGTAAGACTCTTTTTTGTGCTGTGGGCAGTGATGCAGAGCGAATGAATGAACATCCTTACAGGGAACGTGGAAATTTCGACAAGTTGGTCATGTCACGTGTCTCTGCTGAACTCAAATAGTCAA